CCTTGCGGTTCATATTTATATTTACGAATTATTGAGAACTATAAAAACGAGTTGCAAGGCTCGAATAATCGTATCTCCTCTTCCCAAATTGTCCAGTTATGGGGACATTCCGAGCGTCAATTAGAGAGACATAACTGTAGCACGTCTATTTAACCACGCAATAATACAGTAATAATTTTCCTAATGTTCCTTCACTTTCTAAACAAAAATGGACAATTTGGGAAGAAGAAATATGCGCAATAACCTTGACAAAACCTCGCGGCTAATTTTAATAGACGCCGATCTACAGGCTGAAGGAAAAATCGGGCAGAATTGACGGCAGCGTTTCAAAAAAAAAAAACTTTTATTTGTCAAATTCCGTGTTACTCGAGAAGATAAAAATATTGATGGTCCACTTGCTATTCCGAACATCCTATTTTTCCACAGCCCCACTCGCGAGTGTTCGTACGTCACAAGTTTACGATCCCGAAAGCCTCGCGTGTCTCCTGGTTCTCCGAACGCGTCCCATTTTCTTTGAACGCGCTGCGAGACGATCACTCCCCCGCGACCACGGGGCAATCAAAGCCGCTAATTGCGGCCATTCTTGCGCGACCGGGTCGCTCTTTATCCGCAATTTCCCGCGCCCTATAGTCGCGCAAACGACTCTCCGCGACCCTCGGCGAAAGGGTGCTACCGTCGGGCGAACGCCTACGGAAGCCGATCGAATTCTTCTAGAATCGCGCGAAACGCGCTGGAGTTGATTGCGTCGAGGCAACGGGGCGCCGAATTGACTCGATTGCGAGACCGTTGATTGCGTTTCACGCGAATCATCCCGGCGACGGATCCTTGGAGCTCGGCCTAGAGATAAGAAAACAGGATCAAGGTCTCCGCGATGCTCGCCGAGGACCGTCGACGGTTCCGCCGCGCCGCTGCTAGAAACTTGGCATGCACAGCGTGCCGGAGCGAAACAATTATTTTAGCGGAGCCGGTGGGAAGACATTTGAGTCGATTACGCGGGAAAAACAGGGTCGGCCGAAGTCCAATGGCCGAGAGCTTCCTGTCGGCCGCGTTCGCGCGAGCCGCGTACACTCGCGTTTTCGCTCGTTATCGGGCACGGATCTTCGCTCGCTTTATCCTACAACCGTTTCAAAATATGCATAATCTCCGTTTCGCAACGCGCTCCTCTTCGCGCCGCGAAATATCCCGGCCCCGCGGTGCCGCCTGCCGAATGCCTTCTCCCGTTGTTTACGTTCGTTACGCCGCGCTGTTTTGCGCGTCGGACGCCAAATTCTCAATATCAGTCGAGCGCTCGAGAAACGTTGATAACGCGTACAGCGCGGCGGACAATCGTCGCTAAAATTCCCTCAAGGTCTAAGCGATTTAATCAATCAAACCGGAACTAGATACAGTGGCCCACAAAAGTGTTTTCGCACACCTTTTAATACAAGCGATAAGTATATTCAAAGCGAGCTAAATAACTCGAATTTTTTTTAGGTGATAGACGGACTACCAGACGACGACTGAAATGATTTGTTCTTTAATTTTGCCATTACTTGCAATGAAAAGGGGAAATAAAAATCTCGAAAGGCATTTTTTACATTTTCGTTGTCAGATAAAAAAGTTACAAAACGAGGGACTTTAATTTTCCCTTTTCGTTGCAAGTAGCAGCAAAATTAAGGAAAAGCTTTCTAGTCATCGTCTAGTAGTAGACTAGTCCCTCTATCATCTAAAAAACAAAATCGAGTCATTCGGTTCAGTTTTGAAAAAATATTTGCATTTTAAAAGGTACACGAACGCTTTTGTGGGCCACTGTAGTTGAAACTTCTCAAAGCGGACGACGTTGGAACTCTTTCGCGTCCGAAACGTCCCGGTCGAGAGTTCGGTTTTCGCTCGAATATATTACAACGGTAATGAATTCTCAAAATTGGTCAAAGAGTTGGCGTCACCCGTGCGCGAGCGATACGCTCGAAGCGATAACGAAGCGGGTAACTGGGTTTGGGGACCGCCGAGGACCGATTCGAATGCAAATCTTTCGGCCGATACGGCAGGCGTGAGAACAATCGATAGCAGTTTCCGTGAATTTCGCGGCTCGCCCACGAGTCTGTGCTAGCTGGGTTATTTAAAGAGGATCTCGCGAAGCAGAAAGTGCCTGTGCTCTTCGATCGAGGTGAATCGTTCCCCGAGAGGAGACCTTGCACTCCGCTCGGCCTGTTTCCCGCGGATAAAGCCGGCCTGCAATTTCACGGCCATTTCTCATCGGCGACCGATCGCGCACTTGGCAATGAATCAGCTGCTCCCTGGATTACCCCCCGTCGGAGAAAACGCGGCCATCCCCGGCGGAATGGGGCGCGGAGATCGTTCGCGTGAAAATACCATTTTCCACATTATTCGCCGAGTCGACGAGTTCCAATTTACGACCCTATCAAATCCTCTCGTCCGTCGCGACTAGGTTCGATCGGAGCTTCCTACCAAGAAAATCATTTCCATTAGGCGAACGCGGGGGACGATGATTTTACAGCGATTGAAACAGGATGGCGGACGGTCGTTCGATTAACGGACCGTCGAATGGCCCTCCTACGTTTGCCCCCGAGATTGAAAATATAGCAAATGCTTCCTACTTTTCCCTTCAGCTTGCAAATCAAAATTAATAATTTGGGAACAGCAGATACGATTATTCGAGCCAAGCGGCTCATTTTTATAGTCGCCGATCGTCGACAATTATAAAAACAAGATACAGCAATGCCTCTCTAATCGACCCTCGGATTTTCCACAAAAATGGACAATTTGGGAAGAGGAGATACGATTAATTTGAATCTTGCGCCTCGTTTTTATAATTACCGATTCTCAACAACCATAAAAACGAGGCGCAAGACTCGAGTAATCGTATCTCCTCTTCCAAAACTGTCCATTTTTGCGCGCAATCCGAGCGTCGATTAGGGAGACATTACTGTACAAAGTTCGAACAATCGTATCTCGTCTACCCAAATTGTCCATTTGTGCGCGAATCGGAGAGAATTTCCAATACTTTCATCGATCCTGGGAAACGTTTCCGAGATCATGGAAAATTACGGTTGCCATTTGTTCGCGGATCCCACGGCAGTGATAACTACCGGCGGTGACTTCGATCCAATTAAGCGATGGGATCAGCCTATTGTTCGACGGAAGTACGTTATCGTCGGTGACGCAACCATGGTCGAAACCCGTGGAAACTGTAGCTTAGGATAAACGGTGGAAACACGAGCTGCGAAGCTCGCCGGCACATTGGTCAAGGTGGCGTAAAGCTTGGTCGTTAAATATTAACGGCTCGATAACGGACGACTTAACGAGATATGGTAAAAGCAAACAGTAGTGTGTATGTAATTCGTTAATTAGACGAGACGAAGTCGTTCAATTATTTGCACGCGAGCGACAAACTTTATGCGAAATAAAAATTATTTATATATCGTTGCGAATCACTCCGTTTCTCTCGCGTCGCGGCATTTTATTCACAATAAAGAATGTAACTAGATAAATAATAAACTATAATACAACTCGATACAATTATATCTCAGATCTTTCAATTTGAAATGTTGCTCGTTCGACGGTCCGATCTCGACTCCTCGATTGTCCTTGGCAACCCCTATCTTCCATTATTTTTTAAGGGCAGTTTCACATTACAGCCACTTGATTTGGACAAGCCGCCGTAACAATATAAATCGTAGAACATACGAAATAGATAAAAATGTCATTCCTCTTCCAAGAATCGTAAATAAATGCCGTCGAGTCCGCAGTCGATTAATGACGATCGCGTTCTCCGGCCGGAAGCTAACGACGACGGTCGCCATTATAAGTAGCGATTATAATCACGGACACGCGACGCGATGCATTTATTCCCGTTCTACGCGCTCGTTTCTCAACGACGGCGATCTCTCCCATGTGTCGCATCGTCGCGGCTCGTCCGCGATCGCGAGCTCGGCGCGCTTCCAACCAGCGATCGGTTTATGTTGACCGTTCGCGTTTACGCGGCGTCCAATGTCGATCGCGAGTGGATTGATAAAGTGGTATCTATCAATCTCTATTCAGGGCCGCGGCTGGCGGGGCAACGGGAAGCAAAGGTTGGAGGCTCCGTGACCCACTTTCGCGATCTCTCGGCGATCGAAGCGACCGACGATCCGGATCCGTTGTTCGACAGGTCGTCGCGTGTGCGCGTGGGCGTACAGCGAAGCAACGTGCACGCGGCGCGTATCGAAACCACGAGGATGTTGACAAAAGCTGCTGGCTCCGGCAAGGATGTTGACCACCGCCTGACTCCGCGAGATAACGAAATCGCGCGTTCACGGAACTCGAGCTCGTTTTCCGACAACGTGTAATCGAATTGCGCAACGACCAGCCAGCCAGTTGTTTGTCCCGTTCGCTCGGCGCCTCCTCCCCGATACGCGTCCAAACAACGCCGACGCAATCCGGTTCTTAGGGCATTTAAATCGGCGCGCGATAATATCGCGTCGCGTTATCACGGCTTCTGTTAGCCGCGCCCCCGCGAGTCCCTTTGGCAAACAAACGCAGGTCGGACGGAGAGGGAACGTAGAAAGAAAACAACCGCGATACGCGTCCGTTGGACGCTGAAGAAAAATGCAATCCTACCGAAGCGATAGACCTCGATCCGCGCGGCTAATCCGAGATAGACGCGTTCCTGAAAGATAAACGGAGCGACGGAACGCGTCGGAGACGGAGGCGACGATGCAATTCGTCGCGCGGATTACAGTAATGTCTCCCTAATTGACGCTCGGATTGCGCACGAAGATGGACGATTCGGGAAGAGGAGACACGATTATTCGCGCCTCGTTTTTATAGTCGTTGAGATTCGGTGATTATAGAAACGAGGCGCGAGACTCGAATGAATCGTGTCTCCTCTTTCCAAATTGTCCATTTCTGTGGACAATCCGAGCGTCAATTAGAGAGACATTACTGTACGTTTGTTTTATATAACCGTTCGCGCGGGGAAAAATACGGGCATTGATCAGAGGCGACGTTGACTGTTTCAGGTCTGAGTGCGTGCGAAAGGAAGTCTTTTATATTCTTAAGGAAGGAGCTGCCGGTTCGTCTGGCGAACATTATGAAGGAGATCCACTTGCTGCCGGAGAACTTACTGAAGATGCCTAGTGTGCGTATAGTTAATAATTTGTACGCCACTTCGTTCGAGGATATAATACACTTCGAGAAGGTTGAAGTCAACGAGACCACTTTAGACAAGTGAGTCTTCAACGTTAAAACAGTCTATCGAGCGATTCGCGTTAGATTCACTTGTTACGCAGCTCGCGCGAACCTATTTGCTTGAACTTTCCTCCGATCTCGCGAGTTCCGTACCGCGAAAAACGATAACGAAGAAAGCCCGTTTCTCCCGTAGATTCTGCCAATCCCTGGTGAAGATACGCAACAGGCACAAGGACATCGTCGAGACGATGGCGCAGGGCGTGCTGGAGCTGAAAGAGTCGCACGACGTCGACGCCCAGACCGGGAACAGTATACAGTATTTCTTGGACAGGTTCCTCATGTCGAGGATATCGATTCGAATGCTGATCAACCAGCACAGTGAGTCCAGCACCGGGTTGACCGATCGACGCGGCGACCCAATGAAACCGCGTGTCGAGGGGCCCACAGACTAAACGATCGTTCTCTGTCGTAGCTCTGCTGTTCGGCAGCGAGTTAAACGGGCACAGTAGGCACGTGGGATCCATAGACCCCTCGTGCGACGTTATGGACGTCGTGAAAGACGCCTACGAGAAAGCAAGACTATTGTGCGATCAATATTATCTGGCTAGCCCGGAACTGATAGTCAAACAACATAACGGCAAGTTTGAAAAATGTTGATTGTATTATAGTAATGTTGCTAGTAAGTAGCACGACATCAAACCATATTCTGTAGTAGGCGTAACGAAACGCGATTGCCACGGTGAACTATAGTAATTTGTCTCTCTAATTCGCGCTCGGACTGCGCAGAAAAATGGACAATTTAGAAAGAGAAGACTATTATTATTATTATTTGAGTGTTTTTACAGTTGTTGCCAATCGGTATCTATAAAAACGAGCCGCGAGACTCGAACAATCGTGTCTCCTCTCCCCAAATTGTCCATTTTTGTGCGCAATCCGAGCGCGAATTAGGGAGAAATTAGCGTATATCTAGATTAAGTAGCGTACAGATTAAAAATCTTGACAAAACCGATCGAGCACGATCGCGATCGTCTTCGCTGAAAAAATCGTCTAATCTGTTCGTCGTTTCTCCCTTTCAGATTACGAACGGTGCAGCGAAATTAGGATAGTCTACGTGCCGAGCCATTTGTTCCACATGTTGTTCGAGCTGTTCAAGAACAGCATGCGCGCGGTGATGGAACACCGTGACACGGAATCGGAGTACCCGCCGATCGAAGTGATCGTCTCGCGAGGAAAGGAAGACATTTGCGTGAAGGTAAAAAGTTTCGTCGCGTTGAAAAAAAAGTCGCGAGTTAAGTGGTCGCCGGTGGACACCGTTCGCGCGATTCGACGACAGCTGGAACAGAGGTGTTATCGGTTATCGCCGTGAAATTCGAAGCCGGCGTTGTTTCGTCAGCGTCGTTATCGAACGAGCGCGCGAATGCAGAAGCGAGCACCGAGTCGAGCGTCGTCTACGGCTAGACGGTCGGCTGGCGCTCGTCGTCGGGATCGGCGCGATCGGGTTAAATTGAGAAGAAAAAAAAAAGAAAAAGAATCGAGAGAATTTACTGGAAACGTTGTTTCCGCAGATGTCCGATCGAGGTGGCGGCATTCCCAGGTCGCAAATGGACCACTTGTTCAAATACATGTACAGCACAGCCCCGAGGCCGAGCATCACCGACGTCCACACCGTTCCCCTGGCCGGCTACGGTTATGGTCTTCCAGTTTCGCGATTGTACGCCAGGTACTTCCACGGAGACCTGGTCCTCCAGAGCTGCGACGGCTACGGCACCGACGCTATCGTATACCTCAAGGTAAGCTCGAGTTCCCCGGTTGCGCAACAACGCGCGGCATTCCTCGACCGAGACCCTAATCTCTTCGACGCCGAGTCAGCGTCTTCACGGAGTATCCTTTTCCGCGCAGGCATTGTCCAACGAGGCGAACGAATTGCTGCCGATCTTCAACAAGACTTCGTCGAAATTCTATCGAACCCCGGTGTCCACCACCGATTGGAGCAGTCAGTGCGGGGGTGGAATGGCAACCAGGCAGCTGCGCATGAGCGACGTGCAGGGTCACAAGCTTCCGCGAGGGTTGGAGGCTAGGTACTGCTAACAGAAGCCTATTTACATGGACCAAAGTATAGGTGAGTGTATCTTTAAACGAGATCCGAGCCGGAGGGTCTTTTAAACTTTGCCGTGATTGTTGCAGACTTCTCACCGCCGAATCTAAAATGGTGGAAGGGGATTTGAGACTTCCGTAACGGGTTCGCATCCATCGCTGCATATCACGCCGAACGAAAATCAGGATTCGACTACGTTACGTTTTTTCCTCCTTCCGAACGGTGGTCGCGAACGCCGCGGAGCCTCCCTGCGACCGGTTGTTTAATTAATTAATTAATTGACTCGCTCGGGAACCGATCGACTCGTTTCGCTCGACGTCCCGAGGAGGGTGTTCTCAGCGTTCGCGGCTCGACCGAGCCTTTTATTTTTTTATACGCGTTTCTGTGCACACGTTCGTTCGTTAGGTGAACGTTTCAATTGTATATTTGTGCGACCGCGAGGCATTTGGTTGCGTCCGACGGGACCCGTTGTTTGCCTGGGAAATGAGCGTCGCGCCGCATGCGATCTGTGATTTCGAGAACCGACGGAGACGGTTCTCGCCGTGTAACGAAAGAAAACCGAAAAACAAGATTCGCGATCTATCGAGATTTACCGGAACCAGGATCGAGTTAGGACCGTGGCCGAGAAGAAAATCCGATTAGAATCTCCGTTACCCGCCCAAAATGTATTTTGTATACCTGCCCCGAACGAACAGAGACCCATCGACGAACCTTTTTTAAGAAGATTTTTACTTTAGCGCGCATCGCGCCCCCACTTTTTTATTCCGTCACCGACAGACACACTTGCAAAGTTCTGCTAACGAATCGTTCGATAACGAAGCTGTACGCGTTCTCGAATTCTTTAGACTCTTAGCTGTCTACCATGATCGTCACGGAGACGAGAGCTGCACGTGTCATCTTCGCGACGGTTTGCGCGCACCTTGGACCCGAGATACGGAAATACAATATACGCAACGAGAGGAAGCGTTCGCGTGATCAACGTTCCGCTTCCGTATCCGCGATCGGTTGCGCCGAGAAAAACTCCCAGAGGTCTCGGCGATTGTTCCTAGATTCTATTTTTGCGTGGATTCTGGTACGAGACTCGCACGAGACAGGCCTTCGCGATGCAGTCGCGAATGCGCTCCGCGCGTTCCCGTGTATATAATAGCGCGATTTTAGAGCGGTAAGAGAGCTATGTGTATAGAGAATCGTTTTATAGCCGTAATTAAAAACGTTGTAGAAACGCTGACGCGAGTGGCACGAGTGAACGATTGTAACACATTGTTAATAAATATTATACTCGTACGACGTACAACACGTGTGTGTTTGTATCATCCCGAAATCTGAAACGAAACCAACAGATCGTGATTAAGAAGGCTGAATGAATCGCACACAATGGGGTTTGTAATGCATTGCTGTACTTTTATTACGTTTGGCCATACGTACCATAAGTGAATCTCTGGACACAAATGTTCTTTCTCTCTCTCTCTCCCTCTCTTTCTTTCGATTATCTCTTTCTCTCCCTCTCACTCTCTCCCGCTCTCTCTCTCTCTCTCTCTCTCTCTCTCTCTTATCGGTCACGCTTCGCTCGCTGAATAATAAAAAGTACGTCTTAGCAGTAACAATGAATTTTCGTTTATAAAATAATGCTACCCTATGTACAATGCCTGGCGTTCAGTGTGCTCAGGTGACTCAACGCAACGTTCTACCAACTAGCAGTGACAAGTAGAATTCAAATTGCCCGTCGATGTTCGGACGGTGATCGAGCCAGTACCGATCGATCGACGGACAATCCGCAAATCAGGTCGTGGCCGATTAGATAAATTAAAACCGTCGAAGTGGTAGCGGTGCACCGAATAATAAAAACAAAATTATATTCTCTCTCTCTCTCTCTCTCTCTCTCTCTCTCTCTCTTTCTCGTATTTTTTGGCTTTGGAAACACCGTCGAACGAGCCACAGATTAAAAACGAAAATTAAAACATTTTCTTTTAAATCACAGAGATAAAATTGCTTTAAATGATAAAATAAAATAAGACAGATTAAGATAAAAAATAAAATAAAGAAAAATAGATCACCGTACGGAGCCGCGNGTGTAGCGGTGCACCGAATAATAAACAAAATTATATTCTCTCTCTCTCTCTCTCTCTCTCTCTCTCTCTCTCTTTCTCGTATTTTTTGGCTTTGGAAACACCGTCGAACGAGCCACAGATTAAAAACGAAAATTAAAACATTTTCTTTTAAATCACAGAGATAAAATTGCTTTAAATGATAAAATAAAATAAGACAGATTAAGATAAAAAATAAAATAAAGAAAAATAGATCACCGTACGGAGCCGCGATTGTTGAAACGGATTCGTAACGTTCGCTGGTTGAGCCGTTCCCTCAGCCCATTTTTTTCTTCCGTCCCCCGAGTTTGGCACCCTTCGTTTTCATTTTCGACAACAAGGAAACACAATTTTTTTCCGGACCCCTACGTTCCGATAAAAGTCTTTATCACAATGAATAATAATTACAGTAATGTACTTAGTGCGCGTTTCTACGGTTTCGTGGTACGAGACGTCCCCCGACAGTAGGATTCCAAAAATACAATATCGTTCTCCTCTCGCAGTATCCGCGACTTCCCAAAAAGGTACGCCAGAATCGGTTGCACGAAAGCGTTGCTCCGTCCTCCCCCGTCGTGCGAATTATTAATCTGTTAACCGGCGGCGAACGATTACATGTGTGGCGTGTCTGAATTGCCGCCTGCCTCGCTGCCCGGAAATTCGTTCAATCAGATTCCATCATGAAACCGTTTTCATCGACGCCGTCCATGGGTTTTCCTGATTGAAGAGCCGGCTCGGTTAACAGGTTAAAATGTCGCGCTACGCGCGGAGAATTTAAAGCCATCGAAGCGGTCGTCGTTCGACGTTGAGACTGGAAAAATATCAGCTACGAAGAGTTTTTCACAGTACCTATTTAGTGTCTACGTGTGTACACGCGGTTTCTAATTGTTCGCGCGAGCCGAGGCTCGACAGGAAAGGTTTTTTTTTCGTTGACGGATTATATCCAGCGCCGAACGCGCGTCCGCGTGTTTTCTCGTTTATAAATAGGAAAAAGACGAAACTACGTTTGCGATCCGATCGAAAGCAACACGACTGATTCGCAAAATTTCTCTCGGCGCGGACACGCCGAGCGCTGCTCTAGGCTTCCCGTCTCTGGTCAATGGGATCTCGATCAGGCGAAAGACTATTGCTAAAATCCCCTCGAATCGTTAGCGAACGGTCCGCCTACGCTACAACGTATGTATATACAGCATGGCAGTGATTACACACTCTACGAATTCCCTGCCGTACAATACACGCGTCAGAAACGAAAATTGCTTCCTATTTGATTCGCTGGTTCCTCTTCGACCCCTTCGAAACGATCTTGAACTCCGTGGATCTGGCAGAATTGACCTCGATCGTCCGGCAAGCTGCACCCTTAGTCGGCCCAAACCGTGCGACTTGTCGTGCTCCGTCCAATGTTTCTCGTCGAAAGACAAATCCTCCTTGCAGATCACAAATCGCGCCATCGACGTGTTCGTTTTTGGTTCGAAGAGCGGTTCTCGGTCTCGTCGAGTCATCACCCGAACCCTGCCTGTTCGCTCGCTGGTTCCGAATTTAAGGGTCTGATAATATGGACTTGTTTCGTTTCGGATTCGATTCGAGCTCCATCGAACCGAGATAGAGGTAACGGCGGAAAGTTGTTCGGTGAATTGCGTCGCGTTTACCGCGGGAATACACACGGTTCGGGTGATCCTCGATCGGTTCTCCCAGGTGGCTGCGCGCCACGGTTAAACTTCGTCTTGAACGCGCGTAGAAAAATAAAGGGAAACGAATTGTCGTTCGGTTTACGGTGACAATAATGAGCGATCCTCGTGAATCTGCGAAAGGTGTGTGTAATTCTTTACGGTTAGTAAATTACGCTCGGTTACATTCCTCGTACGACATTATTACAGTTATTAATTAATTACCATCTAGGAGATACTCGCTACTTCAAATAGATACTTTTTATAATAATTACTCTTTATAGTCTATCAAAATATTCATCACAGTGCTACGGACACAAAATTGTGTTCTGTTTATACGTGTAAATAATGATTTTTTTTTCTCCGACTGCTTCTCTTCTTGTATCATCTGTGTTTTTTTTTCGTTTTTTTTCTTTCTTTCTTTTTGTTAATCATCGAGGAGGAAAAGTCGCGCAATCCAGCCACTCGTTGATCGCAAACTACGTTTCACGCGAAAGAGTTCTTCGATCTTCCAGCTTTTCGTTTCTCTTTATCTTTTTTTTTTATTAATAAAATAAACGACGTCTTTGATCGTCTTTCGCTTTTTTTTCATCCGAAAATATCAACGAATCGATAAATGGCATCTTTTTTGTTTTAAAGTACATTTTAAACGCTTGTTTTCTAGATCACATTTCTCTCTTCTTTCGTTTCTCTCTTCGTCATTTGTACAATAGCTTGAAAGGATGACATTCGATGTCAACGAGAGACCCGATTTTTGACGTTTTCTATGCTCGTGCCGCTTACTTAATCTTAACTCTTCTTCTCACCTCCGTCCCTTCCTTCTTTCTTTCTTTCTTTCTTTTATATTCTCCTTATCTTTCATCTCTGTCTTTAAACAAATGGGTGCTACACACACACACACGACGCGACGGTATCATTCCGTTAAAAAAGAATTCTTATTCGACTTTATACGTGACTTCTATTTACAACAATATATCGAGAAGATGGCCTTCCAAGGAGATCAAGCTTATGATCCAGGGTCCGTGGGCCCGGCAGCTGGCAACGTTTGAATTTTTGAAAGACAACAAAGATCCGACCGATTATTCGAATTCAAACTTAATTAACAAGTCGATGCGAAAACTACGCGCGGAAAATAGAAAAACAATCGAAAATAATTTTACATCGATCGTCGAACACCAAAACAGAATTAGAAGAAACGATCGCAAGCCGACGACGATATCTTTCGTGTTATAAATTAAATAATCGCTGAACGAACAAAAAGAAACAATGGAACCGCGAGTCTTACCTTCTCCGAAACGGTAAGCAGCGGCTCTTATACGAAACAATTACAAAATGTTCCCCTTAGCATGCCTCCCTCGCTGCTCAAACATTTCTCTTTCTCTCTCTCTCTCTCTCTCTTTCTCTCTCAAAAAAAACGTCGCCCATTTAGAAACATTTCTTTCCAAAAACACGTCCGACCCTCCTATGATAAATAATCACTATCCTTTCTTCGCATACAAAAAAAGTCTCTGTTCCCGCGAAGAAAGGTACGCAGTGTTTAAAAAAAAAATCCATCTCCCAACTTTTACGAAACGCTCGCGTTTCGTACGATCCAATCCACAACCATCTCTGGACAAAGGCTCTGTCGTCCGACGCATTCTCTCCTCCCAGACGGCCTCTTATAGACCTCGGACTTATATGCAAGTACAAATCTAGAAAACCAAAGTCGAAGTAACATGTCGATTTCAAAGGATTGCACACTGTTGTATCTGCCGAGTGTATAAACACCGAGTGTTCTTGTAATAGAAACTGTGTTCTTTTTCGATTGATCGTGAAACTCAATGGGCTGTTGTAAATGCATAAAAGATTCCGAAGTCCTTTTATTATCAGAGATCGTTCGTGGCCCAGCCTTTCTCCAACCGATCGATGCACTTCTCTCACGATAAAACCCGTTCGAATTTAAACCTCTGCGTAAAGGGGGCTAGGCGAGCGGAGCGACTGGCAGCAACCCCATGGAAAGAGCCACATGGCTCAGCACCTTGGCGAAAATTTTGGATTGGTAGGGCCGTGGATATAGCTCCGGAGTTCCTTTGGTGGCTCTGACCCGAAGTCCGACGCCGTGTCGACGTCGGACTTTCGACAAATGATCATACGGATGTCCGTATGCAAGTAAATTCGGCCCGACTTGCCGGACATGAATCTGAAAAGGAAACGGTCCAATGTAGCGCCGCCGGTAACCAATTTTCTCGTCGTACAAACGTGTAAACGTACACAGAAAGCATGCCGGGAACGTTGGAGAAACTTAACGATACTAAGAGAAGGAGGGTTAGGTGTGAGTCGGCTACAGAAACGGACAGCGAACAAAGAGTATACACAGCGGTAGCACACAAAGAAGGAGGGAAACAAACGATCGCGGCTACCGAGAGCGAACATAGTTGTTAAGATTGTCGATCTTTGTTTCGAGCACAACGTGGTCTTTCCGGCTGCGAAGCTTCGCTCACAATAGCCGTGTCAGCTACTAGGAACACTGGTCGTGAAAGCTTCCAAACCTCTAATCGTCGAGCTAATGAAAATCTCGATGTTCGAAACGGTACGGTACAAAATTGAATGGTTCGTTGTGTACGCACCTAAGATGAACGAGGTAGCGTAGCGTTTTGTCCCGCAGTGTTCTCTGACGTAAAAAAGTATGAGATCGTGGCGGCATATCAGAAAGATCGTATAGTACTACGAACATCTTAACGACTGTACCCAAGGGATTCAGAAGCGTTACTTGAATAGTACCACTCCTTGGTACTTGGTAGCCCTTTTTCCCCAAATTAATATGTGCCTATGCAAAAATGTGTCTGTTCAGATCGTTGTTCGGGTCACATATTATCAAAAAAAAAAATATATATATACACATAAAACTCGACGCAGCACACAATCGTCGTGAAGATCAATAGTAAATAGAAATAGAGGATAAAATACAATTTACAAAATCAAACAGGAGAAGAGAATAATGAGAATAGAGTGGCGATACGTACGAGATAGGGTGTAGAAACTTTATCATTGTCACCGAGTGTGTAAAAGAACACGGTGACCGGAAGCTTTCGATGTTTCGGGCAGAAGGAACCGCTCGCGCCCAGCTCCGCCGTGAAACCGTGAACCGTCGACACAGGTTCGAGTCTTCCGTTCAACGCCGACTCCTCGAAGCTGCCCAGAAGAGCATGACTCTGCGGCCTGCTGCGAGAAGTCGGCCGCCTCTTCGGTGTCTCCTCCCCTTCCCCAGCGTTCTCGGTCTCCCTGTCGGTCTCCTCCAAGGAGACCGCTCCCGGACTCGGCGGGGTGTTCAACTCGAAAAGTGCGCTGAAACGGGAAAACTTTGGCTCAGCCGACGTTGCTTCGCGACACGAGTTTCCAGTTGGCTGCGGGAAACCACGCGTACCTTCTTTTGGACGACACCGAGTTCAAACTACTGTCGTAATCGAAGCAACAGCTGCCTCTCCTGAGAGGTGCCGGGCTGGAAGTCAGCGGCAGGCCCGTCCTGCTGTGAAACACCATCGATGCCGCGTTCTCCAGAGACCTCCGGAATCTCTCTTGCTCGATGGCAGTGGGTACCACCCTGTCGAGGGTTTCGTCCTCCTCCAAGATCGCCGTATTGTCCTTCGCGCTGCTCCGTATCGATTTGGCGTCCTTGGCCAGCTTCGGGGCAGCCTTGTCGTCCTCCTCCCTCGGCTCGACAGCCGCCAAATCCTCCTGGTTTGTACTATACAGTCTGTTCTGCCACTTGAGCGTGTCCGGATCGTCGCGTCCGGCTCCGCTGTCCTCCTTGTAATTTGTACTATAGGTTCTTGAGTTTTGATGTGCGCCATTTGTACTAAGCTCTGAAGGATCGGTGCACGCCTCACTCTTCCTCTCCGACTGCTCGAGGTTCGCGAAGTCGATCCGCCTCTTCGTCTTGGTGTCCCTCGAGTTCTTTGGATCGTGCAAGCTCGGTTGCACGTTGTTGTACGAGAACGAGCGCTGAACCGTCGTCGGCTGCTCCGACTCCTGACAGCCGTTCTCCGTCATCGCCTTCTTCTCCTGTTCCTTCTTGAACAGCTGCCGGATCCTGTTGAACTTCTTGTTCAGCGCCACGTGCAACGACTTCTCGTCCTCCAGCGCGGCTATCCTCTCTGCGTCCAAGTTGCTTCGGACGACGTTCTCCGTCTCGGTTGCGGCCGCCGACGTCGCGGACCTCGGCTTGGTCCCGCTCGAAACCTCTGGCAGGCTTCTTCGTTCCTTACTCGTTCGTAAGATTGCTCCCAATAGTATGTCCGCCTTGTTCGAGACGTTCTGCAGACAGTCCGCCGGCTCGTTCGGCCGTTTCTCGGTGTTGGTGCACTTCAGGCTCTGCAGATCCTCGACGGAGCCGCCGTTCAGCTTCTCCCGCTTCTGCGAGGGGTTGTAAATATTCTTATTGCCATAGATCTCGCCGAAGTGGGTCTTCTCCAGAGCTTGCTGGTCGTTCTTTCGGCACAGCTTGTGGCTGCAGCCGTCGCAGCCCTTGCCGCGGTTCGCTATGTTGTTGGTCGAGCATTCGCCATTCTCCAAATTCGCGTACTTCCTGTCGGAGCTGTCCTCGCCCGACTTCTCCGATCTGTCCCTCCTCCTGAGCGTTTTCACGCTGGTCCTCTTGCGACCCGAGGGTGTCCTGGCCCTCAGCACCGCCAGCACCTCGTCGAACTCCCGCTGACTCAGCTCGAGATTGCAGTTCTTGAACTTCACCTCGGTCCCCTGCTCCTGGCTCTTCAGGTTCGTCGACTTCACCTTGTTCTCCACGTAGCCGTTGCCCGGCGCGACGCCCAGCACCCTTCCCGGCACCTTGGCGAACCACTCCAAGAACCCTCCCTCCTCCTTGACCTTCTCCTTCTCCTCCGGGAACGTCAGCTTCGACATCAACTGACTCAGATCCTTCCCGGTCCTGGTCTTGTTGTTAGCGGCACCGTCCAAGCCGGACTCCGACACGTCCTGTCCGGCACAAACTGTCGCGGACAGCTTGTTCGAGGGCTTGGTGCAGCTCTGGTGCACCATGCAGACAGAGTTCAAGGACTCCTGTTTCAGCCGGTTATTCGTCGACGGGCCAGGATTTGACTCGTGAAAGGGACTCGGTTGCCTGAACGGATTGATCATGATACTCGTGTCCTTCGACACGGCCGGTTTGACGGTTCTCTCGGAGTCGTTGAAGTAGCTGTCCTTGTTCCCACGCAGGCTCTGGAACGCGCATTTGCTGTTCGCGGTGCTGTTGTTCCAGGACTCGACGAACGACCACGGCAACGAGGAATTGAACGGAATCAGGTTCTCGAACAGCCCGTTCTTCTCCGCGGGCTTCGTCTCCACGTCCTTGGTCATCTTTTTGCCACCAGCTTGCGCGTCCTTCTCCAAATTGCACTGCTTCTCCTTCAAGTTAGTCTGTTTCGCCGCCTCCGTTTCCTCGAGCGACCTCTTGTACCGCTTCTCCACGTTCCCGTCGCGTTCCTCGATGCTCAGCTGAGTCTTGAAGCAGCGCTCCAGGTTGTCGGCGTTCAGATTGTTCCGGTTCTTGAGCCCGTTCTCCTCCAGCTTGCAGCTCTGGCCTTGGACAGGCTTGCCGCGATTGTTCGAGATCTCGGCGGAACATTTCGGGTAGCTGGAGCTCTGACTGCACTTGGTCTCTTGCGTTACAGTCTCCTGCAGCGACGGCAACGGCATCGGCTGTACCGTCACCGTGTTCACGTCCGTCGGTCCGCAAGGCAGAGATCGACGTCGTTTCCTCTCGCCGTTTGGTCGCGGGATCGAAGGCGAGGGTGGCGAAGCGTCGTCCTCCTCGCAGCGGCAGTGGTGTTTCCCCAGCTTGTCGCAGGACGTCTGCATTCTGTCGTCCACTAGAACTGTCCAAACAAAATAAACGCATTTCGTGACAGTTCTTCGAGAAACTTCCTCGAACGAGCGTCCAGTTTCTCCGAAGAGCGTTAGCCGCGACGCTCGAGAAACCCCAAAGACGTTGCTTCGGAAAGGATACGCCCTGCGCCTGGACGCGCGAAGAACGGGACGGATTACGAAACGATGCAACGGATGAACACCGGATCTACGGATTTTCACGGACAAGTGTCGGGCATCATTGATTACCGGGTAGAACGAGGCCCTCGGAGTTCTGGGCAGCGTTGGGGACCGGGATCGCCTTGGTGGGCGTCAAAGCTCTCGCGACACCCTCTTCGTCTTTCTCTTTGATCGGATGCAACGGGCAGGTGAGAGTCGGTACCTCCTCCATCCTCGGCAGTGCCCACACGGTGACCTAAAATTCACACAAGAAATCCTCTTCAGCTTCATTAACTGCCGCGACGAGTACACTCGAACGGGACACCGTCGGGCGGCCGGTGTGACTCATCCGCTGGTTAAAAGTAGGCATTCGTTGGTGTCCTCGGCCACCAGAATAGAACCGTGGATGGTACTCCGAGTACGCGAACGGCAAAACCACCGTGCGGATTACACGGACGGTTCGAGGAACGTTGACCTCGGCTCTAAGCTCTCGGGCTCCGAACGTGCCGACGAGAAAGGCTCGCGCGTTCGTCGACGAAGATACCGACGACGCGCTCTGTTTTGCGGGAGCAGAGGCCCAAGATAAACCCGGCGACGGCGACGACGATCGCGGAGAGCGAGAAAGAGTCCCCGAGACTCGCGTTTCGACGAGCGAACGCGGGTCGGATATGGATGACGCATGGCGTCGACAGGGTCCACACCACCCTCCTTCGCCTACCTTTATCGAATTTCCATCGCCGCTGCCAGCCAGGGGGAAGGTATGCTCGACGGGAGTCTCGCGAAACTTTCTCAGATTATCCTCGTTGAATGGAACCACCCTCGTCGTGATGTAGCTCGGATCGGCGCCCTTGCTTCTGGACCACCAGGCCGCGACTTGACTGAAGTGAAGCCGGGAACGAACCGCTTGGTACAACCCGTAGAAGTTCATCGTCTCTGGACTCCTGTTGGTTTTTGTAGGAATGGGTTACAGACTTGCGCTATCGAGATGAGAACGGGAGAGAAAGAGAGAGAGAGAGAGAGAGAGAGAGAGAGAGAGAGAGAGAAAGAGAGAGAAAGAGAGAGGCCGGTGGTCAGATNGACCTCTTGTACCGCTTCTCCACGTTCCCGTCGCGTTCCTCGATGCTCAGCTGAGTCTTGAAGCAGCGCTCCAGGTTGTCGGCGTTCAGATTGTTCCGGTTCTTGAGCCCGTTCTCCTCCAGCTTGCAGCTCTGGCCTTGGACAGGCTTGCCGCGATTGTTCGAGATCTCGGCGGAACATTTCGGGTAGCTGGAGCTCTGACTGCACTTGGTCTCTTGCGTTACAGTCTCCTGCAGCGACGGCAACGGCATCGGCTGTACCGTCACCGTGTTCACGTCCGTCGGTCCGCAAGGCAGAGATCGACGTCGTTTCCTCTCGCCGTTTGGTCGCGGGATCGAAGGCGAGGGTGGCGAAGCGTCGTCCTCCTCGCAGCGGCAGTGGTGTTTCCCCAGCTTGTCGCAGGACGTCTGCATTCTGTCGTCCACTAGAACTGTCCAAACAAAATAAACGCATTTCGTGACAGTTCTTCGAGAAACTTCCTCGAACGAGCGTCCAGTTTCTCCGAAGAGCGTTAGCCGCGACGCTCGAGAAACCCCAAAGACGTTGCTTCGGAAAGGATACGCCCTGCGCCTGGACGCGCGAAGAACGGGACGGATTACGAAACGATGCAACGGATGAACACCGGATCTACGGATTTTCACGGACAAGTGTCGGGCATCATTGATTACCGGGTAGAACGAGGCCCTCGGAGTTCTGGGCAGCGTTGGGGACCGGGATCGCCTTGGTGGGCGTCAAAGCTCTCGCGACACCCTCTTCGTCTTTCTCTTTGATCGGATGCAACGGGCAGGTGAGAGTCGGTACCTCCTCCATCCTCGGCAGTGCCCACACGGTGACCTAAAATTCACACAAGAAATCCTCTTCAGCTTCATTAACTGCCGCGACGAGTACACTCGAACGGGACACCGTCGGGCGGCCGGTGTGACTCATCCGCTGGTTAAAAGTAGGCATTCGTTGGTGTCCTCGGCCACCAGAATAGAACCGTGGATGGTACTCCGAGTACGCGAACGGCAAAACCACCGTGCGGATTACACGGACGGTTCGAGGAACGTTGACCTCGGCTCTAAGCTCTCGGGCTCCGAACGTGCCGACGAGAAAGGCTCGCGCGTTCGTCGACGAAGATACCGACGACGCGCTCTGTTTTGCGGGAGCAGAGGCCCAAGATAAACCCGGCGACGGCGACGACGATCGCGGAGAGCGAGAAAGAGTCCCCGAGACTCGCGTTTCGACGAGCGAACGCGGGTCGGATATGGATGACGCATGGCGTCGACAGGGTCCACACCACCCTCCTTCGCCTACCTTTATCGAATTTCCATCGCCGCTGCCAGCCAGGGGGAAGGTATGCTCGACGGGAGTCTCGCGAAACTTTCTCAGATTATCCTCGTTGAATGGAACCACCCTCGTCGTGATGTAGCTCGGATCGGCGCCCTTGCTTCTGGACCACCAGGCCGCGACTTGACTGAAGTGAAGCCGGGAACGAACCGCTTGGTACAACCCGTAGAAGTTCATCGTCTCTGGACTCCTGTTGGTTTTTGTAGGAATGGGTTACAGACTTGCGCTATCGAGATGAGAACGGGAGAGAAAGAGAGAGAGAGAGAGAGAGAGAGAGAGAGAGAGAGAGAAAGAGAGAGAAAGAGAGAGGGACCGGTGGTCAGATTGCACTCACTTGCTGGGAACGACGCAGATACACCAGTACTCCAGCAGCATCTCCGACGCGTGTTGCCATGGTGAGATTGATAAGGACGGGACGGTACTGATCGGGTTCTTGTTCCTCGCTTTGGCCAGGCCGCACGGACAGTCGCTGCAAAGCATCACTTCGATGCACAAGTACGAGCCGATCGCTGTACGATCGGCGATCTCTCGCACCAGCACAAGGTATCGATCGCACTGTAGGAACGAAAGAAGACGAGGTTTAGGTCCTCGTTGTGGTCCAAAGCTGTCCGCTGCTCGAAGAACACCGTGGCCGGAATAGCTACCAAATAATTATCTTCCTCGCACACATGGTCGTTAGAAGCCGCCTGCATGGGCGCCGCACAGTGTGGGCCCTCTCTGTAACCACGTGGAGGGCCCTGAATCCTCCCTTCGGACACAAGGACTCCAAGGGCTCGGAACACGCTGAGAATGCCACCCCGACCGCCAACCCCATTCGGGCTGGGAATGCCTCCTATCACCGCGCCTAGGCAGTGCATGCCTGCAACACAGAGCAAATTAGGTCAGCACCGCGAACGATCGTGGAAGCGGATCGGAAGGATTTAGCGAAAAGATTTGTATCGGTCTCGGACACGATATGGGCCCATGGAGAGTGGTGCAAGGGTAAGGAGTTCTAGGTTCTGGGCAAAAGAAGCTGTCTGGTCGCGAAGCAGCGCGATCCACGAACCTGCGCCCGTTCTTCTTCTGTGGAAGCAGTGCCCGACGCACTGCAACAGGATCGCCGACATTTTCGAGACCCGGTCTCGAGGAAACGAGAACTGGAACGATTTGACCGGCGCTATCGTCGATCTCGAACGCGCGACGAATCATGCTCGGCTACCGTTTCGCGAGCGATGTCTTTATCGGGAGAACGAACTTTGCTCTCCGGCTCGGCCCTTTTCAGGAGGAACGCGTCACCATTATCATCCTGCTCGAGCGTGCTCCACGATCGAAGATTCTTTCTTTCTTTCTTCTCGGCCGCCACGGCGAGCATCTCGAACCACGTAGCACAAAGAGGCTGCCCTCTCAAACTCCTCGAAACGGTCACGGATTTTCTTAGGTGTTACTCATTGCCGCGCGGTTCCATGAGTCAGTCGCGGCGCGTCTATTAACTCACAGCCGTCGCGGGGCCGCACCGGTGCACTAACGTTCGAGAGGGCGACATGTCCCCTATACGCTGCTCGTAACGCGGCCCTCGGGATTCTAGAAGCACGAATATTTTCGAGGATCGTCGAGGAGACTCGTTCGAGCCGAAAATCGCGATCGTAGGGTATCGGATCGGGAGATTCGGCGGGACGGGTTACGCCGGGCACGGTGACCGCCGCCAGGTTTCAGGGGTTTTCCCGTGTCTTTTCATCTGACACCCGATCCGAGAATTCGTCGGCCGTCTTCCGCCGGTCATTATGTAAAGGTGAATACGCACAGGAGGGCGATGGGCATTATTTATAACTTTGCCCGCCGCCATACGCGGCGAAAGCGGCGAACCGGATTGGCTTCCTCGCCGCCTTTCCTCCGAGCGTTTCAGCGTTCGGTCCAACGAGCACAGAACTCTCCGGCGCGCTCCTCCGAACGGAAACTCCGAGAATTCCACGGGAAATGCGACGGCGCCTCTCGGTGTTTCGTGGAAAATTCGCCGGGTTTCGAGGACCGCGGCGTCGACTCTCGGCGCGACCGACCGACCGACCGGATCAAAGCAACCGGACGGAGTTCTAAAAGCGAACGCACGCTCACCCTGTCGGATCACACGATTTCTAGGACATCGCTTCTATTCGCGGAGAATTCGCGAAAGCCGAAAACTGCTCGAGGTCGCGGGATCGCGAGCGCATCGGGCGCGCGCGATCAGCGTCGCGTTTTCCAACGGAAAACGGAATTCGCGACGGTGCACGTGGGCTCTGTTAACGCGAGAGAGGGCGAAATTTAGGCGGCACTTGGACTCGAGTGGTTGGCGCGACGATTAGCCGAGATTTTTTGAAAAAGAGCGGGTCGCGAGCCGCACCGAGACCCGACTTGGAATTTGAATAAACCACGGAGAGCGCCGGTGGCGGCTACAGCCGGCACACGCACGTTGCTCTGTGTGCGTCGAGGGTCCGTATGCAGAAGGGAGAGCTTGTGGGGCTCCACGAGGGTGATCGTACTCGCGTGTCATGCGCAAAAACTTCAACCCTCCGCCAAGTCCTCCCAGAGAGACCGAGAGAGATAGAGAGAGGGAGAGTCGGATAAAGATGGATGGACGGAGAGGGACGGTGCAAGGATTAAGGGGAAATCTCTGGCTCGAACATCTCCGATTAAACAACCGTCAAGATGTTCGAGTTAATCCGCGGAGTTATTTCGAGATCGTCGGGTCTCGAGGCTCGGGATACTCCAGGGAACTTCCATCCTGATCCTGGGCTCGACGGAGGCAGTCGCGCCGGGTTGATTAGCAAGGATACTTTAAGACGATCCGCCGGCGACGGGACAAAAAGAGCATACCTTTATACCGCTTCTAATCGGGTCGTCCGATAGTCTGGAATACTCGATAATCCGCCGCGAGAATCTTGTTAGCGCCGGGGACTGTCTGAGTTTTCCTCGTATAATTAGTTGCTCTAAATCCAGTAAACAGCTGACCGGCTCGGACCGATTCCCGGCAGGCCGTGCCAGAAACGCGACGAAATTACCGTGCATCGCGTTCGTCGGTTCGGTCGCGACTCCGAACAGGTAGCAGGGCCGGTGAATTTTTCGGCGGCGGAATTTTCGGAAGGAACACGCTTTATTTCGGACGGGATCGTCGCCGGATTCGGAGGGCCGTCGGGAAGCCGACGAGGGAATCGACTCGGCGAGCTAAAGCCGGCGGCTGACGAAGGCTCGGGCATGTGGCGACGTCGCGGGAGGCTGAGGGAGGTCGAGGGAGGACGAGGAGAGAGGGCCGCCGATGCGCTTCCGATGCAGCTCGGTGCACGGTGCGAATGCGCCGGCTGGTCCAGCTGGGAAAACACCAGCCCGACGGCGCCTGTCTTATCCAGCCCGGAGTAAACAAGAATCATTCGGGTTCGTTGTCGCCGACCCGATGTTTCTGGCTGCGTGTAATTGCATCGGCCTTGAAGGCGGCCCCGATCGCTCCACCGCCACGCCGTTCCGTCTCAACGGAAGAGACCGACTACATTCGGTCGCGAGGCTGAGAATTCCTCTAAGAACGATCCCTTTGTTTAACGATAAGACGGCAAAGTCGCGGAGACGAGGGTGGAGAGGAGGCTTTCGAAGAGACAATGGCCACGAGGAGAGCGCTCGTTGCGAGATCCGCGGCTCGCGCTGAATGTAAACTCGCGAGCCGCCGTCGTCGTCTCGGGCCGTGGAAGGCTCTGCGAGAGAGGCAGTCGGCCAACAAACAGATAGCCAGAATTAGTCACTAAACGACTATCAATTATCGCGATCCGCTTCTGCTCGGCCGTTTCATCGCTGCGCGAGCCGATGTCGCGGCGGCCGTGGCTCGATGCGATGTGGCAACTCGCGATCGGAAGACCGTCGAGTGGGAGATTCGGTTCCAACGTTTCGACAAACTATCGCTGATATCGCTATCGATCGCTTCCGTCGACGAATCGGTACTGCCGACCGGTTGCGTTCTTTCAAAGGTTCCGTCGGAAATGTAGCGAGGCATGCTAAACGCGGTCTATATTTGTTGCATTAGCATAACGCCGACCACCGTTCGCGTCGTAAACGCGCATCGGCTCGGAGTCCGCTCGGCCAGTGGCGTAACATCGGTCGATTCCACCGCGACCAGAGAACCGATAAACGACGAGCACAACGATTGCCCCGCGGTTCGGAATATTATTTCCAGCGGATCGGATTCCGTCGCGGACGGAAGACGACGACGGTCCGAGCTGCTCGGACATAACGCGAACGACGAGCATCCTGGCATATGCGACTTATCCGTACGCGGGGATGCAGCATGAATTTTACGGTCGGAACGCGCCTGTAAACGCATTAACAGAATTACACGGCTTCCGGGGGCTGCCGTTTCAGTCCCTCGGCTCGCGGCCATATCAAGAAGTCGCGGCTTTTTTCTCGAATTATTTGCGCGTCTCCGCGGATTTTCAGTCACGGAGAGACGCGAAACTGCAGTCTTATCGGCATCGCGGCGACCTCTCGTCGCCGTTGAGATAACGCGGCAGATAGACCAAGATCCTGTCCTGGGTCAACTTTCAACGACTTGTAAATATTTCGGGAGCGATTACGCGATCGACCGGTCGAAAACAATAATCGTCGGCGCAGCTCGCGTCGCCGGCGAGCGCAAAGACCATCGAGCGAATTCACGATTACGCAAGGTAATTAATTCGCAACGATAAGGTGGAAACACGGCAACTGATTAGAGCGAACGTGTAACACGCGGTAACACGCGAAACAGCGCGGATTGAAAGCGACGCAACGGCGGACGAGCGAACGCGTCGCGTGCGATATTGGAAAAAGTAAGCGGTTCCTGTCGGGGCTGTCCCCGTTGTTCGTTAATCATTCGTTCGCGTCCGTCTCACGCCGGTCCGTCGGATTTTAACCGGTCGCGGACTCGCGAGCACGGCCGAACGCTCTTTTCGCGGAAAAAATAATATTAACGTCGACGGTTCGGATTTATCGGCGCAAACGGAAACGGAAAGACGCCGCGCATGCCTGCCTTTTCTTCTCCTAATCGGTCGCGTTTACACGCTCGATGAAGGAAATCATTGATCAGGACGAGGCCGTCTTCTGTTGCCACCGGTCCGTTACCAATTAGCTCGTTAACGTGCCTATCTACGCTAGGCCGCGCCTCTGGATCCTCATCCATGCCAACAAACTAAATCATCTTTCCTCCGAGGCTGACGCGTGCACACGAATTGGAACGGTCCCACCGGTGAGGCCCCTTAGACCCGTTTCACACGAGGATACGCGCGTAAGAACAGAGTCACGCGAGCCTCGAATTTACGGACGCTGATCGTCTCTTTCTCTCTCTCTCCTTCTTTCACTAACGGAGAACGAGGAGCATTTGTCCTTGTTCGCAACTAGGAAAACGAGGAAAGACGATCAACGTCCGTTTTTTCGCGCGACTCTGGCTTTAGATGCAGTTAATCGGCTCTTGCTCCTCGGAAACCGGGTGCGTCGACTATTAAACCCTAGTCCGAACACGGCGGACCCTCTCCACTCTCCGGATAAGACGAGCGTTGAACTGATTCGAGACGAGTCGAGACACGAAACCTAGCAAAAGTAACTTCTCCCCGTAGTCCCAGCGGACTTGGGAGCAGGCCGTATCCTCGGCTCCCGTTCGCTGATCCAGCATCAACGGCGCACAGCCGGCTCAAGAGAGCAGCTCTATCGCGGCTAGAAAGTCGTTCTGTTTGCAACTTCTTCCGTGACCCGTGGTGCTCGCCGCAGTTCCGGCAAACAGACGACCGCGACGTTCGACCGCTGGTTGGTCAGTCCGCTCGAGGATAACAGAGATCCCCTTGACGACTCCTCCGCTTTTAGAGAGTTCCCTCCCGGGGCAGAATCGTTCGAGCACGCCGCGACGGAGACACACGGGGGATATATTTCCATAACCTCCGCGAAGCGAGTTTTCTCGTCGGTGAAAGTGTTGCGACGTCCGTCGTCGATGATCCTGGGGCCCGGCGAAGCAATTTACGCTTTCGCGGCCGAGCTTTTTGCGCGATTTCGACCGGTCCCCCGCGGACACCGTGATCGGGGTCCGCCCGTTTTTATCACGGCGCGATCGGAATGGCCGGCACGATTCCCGACGATCGGAGACGTTGGGATCTTCCCTTTGTCCCGTTATCGCGACACAGGCTCCAGAGACGAGAGACGTTTCTCCCCGTGGTCTGCGAATCAACATTTTACGACCGCGAGAGTTTCCCAGACCCTTATTCGGTATCGACCGGACCGAACCGAATACGCGGAGCGCGATCGGTCGCCGAGCTGAAAAGGGTAACGATCGCGGCCCGCTCGCGGAGCGATCCTATAAATCTTGCGCGTCACGCGTCCACGGAGCTCTCCTTCTCGGCGAGATCCGAACTCCCCCGAGACCGTGATTTTCTTATTTCCGTGCCGCGGAATCTACCGCATAGAAAATCAGAAGTGTCCGTTGACCGCGGCCGAGGAAAGACGGATAAGGACGGAGGAGAGCGGAGGGAGCTCGAGAACGAGGGAACGCAGAAGAAACGGAAGAGCTTATTCCGTCGGACTGGATTTTGAATACGCTCCGCCGCAGACGGCTTTATTTTNTTCTCCCCGTAGTCCCAGCGGACTTGGGAGCAGGCCGTATCCTCGGCTCCCGTTCGCTGATCCAGCATCAACGGCGCACAGCCGGCTCAAGAGAGCAGCTCTATCGCGGCTAGAAAGTCGTTCTGTTTGCAACTTCTTCCGTGACCCGTGGTGCTCGCCGCAGTTCCGGCAAACAGACGACCGCGACGTTCGACCGCTGGTTGGTCAGTCCGCTCGAGGATAACAGAGATCCCCTTGACGACTCCTCCGCTTTTAGAGAGTTCCCTCCCGGGGCAGAATCGTTCGAGCACGCCGCGACGGAGACACACGGGGGATATATTTCCAT